GAGGAGAAAAGCCACTGGGTCTGTTCCTCCGGGGCAGCTCCTAGGATGCTTGTGAGCGAGCGTATGTACAGCGCCCAACGCAGTGGAGCCTTCTCCCCGACCGGGGCCTAGGAGAATTACTGCAGTACAAATAATAGAACCAGGAGGAGACAATTCCCTATCACGGTACAGTCAGGGCACCATTCCCAGAGCTCCCAAGGTGCTGGATCGCCCACCCCTGCGGTGCCACCATCCAAACTCCAGCCGCCCAGGGCTGGCTTGGGGCCTAGTGCTCCCTATGGCCACATGCAAGACCCAGGTTGGCCTCCTGAACCAGCTCTTCCGCTCCCTGGGGCAGGAACTGGGGAGTGCTGTGAAGGCCGGGGGCTCAGCCCCTGGAAGGGAGAAGGGGACCAAGCGCTGCTCCCTAGCAAGGCTGGCTCCTCCGCCCAGGCTGGGTCTGAAGCGACAGCCGCAGCCTCAAGCCCCTTCCAGTACCTCACAGCAGCCATTCCCTGCCCCCAGCCTTCCACTACCAGCTCCTGTCTCCATCACACGTAGCTCCTCACCATGGGTAGGATGTTACCCAGCCCCCCCCCCATGCTAAGCCTGCTGGGGGGTGAAGGGGGCACATTCATTCCCATCCCTCATGCTCACCCCCCCACGTTAGACTCACATCCGTGTATCTGAGGGCTGGGTGGGTCCCCTGCACGGCCGTCACCGTCAGCGGCAGCCCCTCCAGGTTCCAGAGCTTGCGGCTCAAGTCGTCGTAGGAACGGACGATGCTGACCATGGCCTCCTCCCCAGTCCCTGCGGGCTGAGAACACCCCAGACGGTCAGATGGCGGTGCTCAGTCCCCCGCCACCCCTTTGTAAGTGCAGGTGCAACGGAACCAACCAGGGACCCCTGCCCTCCACCAGGCTGGCATCCTCAACCCTCCTGCTGCTTCTCCCACTGCGCAGCTCTGCCAACTGACCCGTTCCCCCACCAACTTCTCTGCATCCTGCCAAGTGCAATCACCAGGACACCACCACCAGGGACAGCGGGAGCGGTCTGCATACCGGCAGCTGCTCTCTGCCACCACAGGGAGGGAGAGGAGTACAAGGAGCCAAGCGCAGCGCTGCTGTGGGCTGTTCAACAGTTGCCATGTCCCACCCCAGAAGTGGCTTTTTTCAGTGGCAGGGGAAGAGATCCCTAGAAAAGGCACTAAAGGAAGCACAAAGAATTATACTGTAGACGCTAAGGGAGAAGCTGAGGAAGTAACAAGGCGCGCGCGCGCACATACACACACACACACACGAGAACAAATTAGAAATGTCCAGGGCAATGCAACATAGGTGCAAATAAGGGCAAAGCTGCCAGGGAGAGGCACTGAATCATGGAGAAGGGAGGCACCAGTCCCTCCCGCTGCACAGCTCGGCCGTTGCGTTCCATTCCGGGTACCACACCACTCGAGACAGTCACTAAGGGGGCGCTGCTCAGGGAAGAGCAGCATCCGACGAGGGGGCTGACAGGTGGGACGGACAAGAGCCCAGCCTGCACAGCTTGGCAAAGCAACGACTAACGAGACAGGCATCTGCAGAGTGTAACACCGAGGAGGGAGAGGAAATGTCGAGGGTGCCTAGATAGCCCAGTGATGGGCACATAGTCAGCATAGAGGAGAGAGGGATTTCCGTCCATCGCCCTCAGGAGAGGGCCTGGACCAAACAAACCAACAGGAACAGAGACAGATTTCAAGGACGCAGCTCAGCGGGACCGTGCAGATCGACAGCTATAGGATGCCTGATTTTTATGGGAGAGCAGCAGTGCCCTCTGCAGGACCAGTTGGTAATTGCCGATTGAAGTCTTTAAAAATCACTGGCCTGGGTTAAGCAGCAGGTCAGAGCAGACGATTATCACTGTACCTTCTGGCCTTACTGGCTAGGAAACCCTGCACCTCAAGACCCTCCCCACCCTATCCTTGCTTCCAGGCCCCATTTTGGATTCCTTCCTGCTCAGCTCCCAGAGGCAGCACTCATAGATGAAAGTTACTGGAGCGTCTGTGCACAACCCTCGCAGCTCCTCGAATCCAGGCCCCAGCATACGAGAGCTATTCTCAATCCTGGCACTAGCCTGCCATCCCAACTGCTCCCTGCCAGAGACAGGGGACAGAAAGATCAGGCCACAGAACAGGTCTGGAGGCTTGGCTTGGGTTTCAAGTTACATTGTATGTCTTCCATCTAAGAAACTCATGTCCTGTTGGGTTTTTAACATAAACAGAGCTTG